CCCCCGGCGGCCACGGGCCCAACCCCGGCCATGTGGGACCCACAGGCGACTAGGTGCGTAGCGTGGCGGGCGGCGCGCGGGTGGCTGCCGTCCTGGTCCTGCGCGCTTCCCCCGCGCACCCGCGCGGGCGACCTGCGGAGGAGGTGGCGCGGCAGAGCGGCTTCTCCTGGCCAGGCCCCCCTCCCCCTACATCCCCCCAGGTGCAGGTCCCAGGCAGGCGGCGGCAGGGGCGGCTGGAGTGCTGCATGGGCTCCGGCCTTCTCTGGCCAGGGGGGGACCAGAGCGTGTGCTGCGCCAGGACTGCGGCGGCGTGGCTGGCCTTGCTCTTCCATCCTGGGCATCGAACCCGCTGCTCCACGGTGCGCCGTCCGCACCCTCTGGGGGACGCCGGGGCCCGCCACACCTTTCGGATGGAAAGATCGACGGCCCAGCCCCCCCGGACGTGCGTTCGATCGGGGCTGGCGGGGGCGCGCGGGTGCAGCGGGGCTCTGGAGCCGGGCGGGGCCGGGCTGGAAGGGCGGGCTCTGCAGAGAACGCTGCGAGCGAATGCGCGCGCTGGCGGCTTCCCTGCAGGAGGAGGTTCAGGACTCCACCAGGGCAGGCCGCCGCCTCGGTCTGAACTAACAGCAGCTGGAGCCGGCGGTGGTTCGGGGTGTCTGGGCTCTCCATACTTGGATACATGAGCGGGGGGTGGGGGGTGGGAGGCGGGTAGCAGCGGATTTCTCGGGAGACTCCGTGAACTCAGCCTGGAGAAGCCCAAACTTCCGCCTCCGGAGTGATTTTTAGATCCAAGCGGGAAACCTGTTGTCCAGGAGGCGCCCCTCCCACCCCCCCACCAGCTCTCTCACAGAGCCCCGCACGCTCTTGCTGCCCAGTTGGAGAGCACCCATCTCTCTATGCTGGGGGGTTTTCTGGAGGACCCCAAGGTTTGGTACCTCCTAGGAAAAATTCTGAGAGGTGTGCTATATGAAAAAGAAGGGGTAGGGGGGGGGAATGAAAAAGGTAAAATGAGGCTTCCTGACCCACCCTAGCATAGTTCTTCTTCGCTTGATTACTTTTTTTTAAAGCACTTGTTTACAAGAAGTGCTTGTACAATTACAAGCTATTGTGTCAGATTTAATAATGATGTAAAAAACGGATGAAATGATAATTCAAGATACTTGCAACTGCTGTATGTTGTTAGGTGCCGTCGAGTCGGTTCTAACTCTAGTGACTCTCTTTGCACAACGGAAAGAACACCGCCCTGCCCTGCGCCACACTCACAATTGTACTTATGTTTGAACCCATTGTTGCAGCCACTGTGACCATCAATCTTGTAGAGGGTCTTCTTTGTCGCTGCCTCTCTTCTAAATAGCCTATGAAAATAGCTGTGGTTTCATACGGTCTTAAAGTCATAGATACTATTAGTGGTAATGCTGGTTTGTTTCCTGCATTAAAACAAATGAACGTTTCCGTGAGAGGTTATTAAAACTGAATAATGCATAAATTTTCCTATCCCCATTGGCACACACTCAGAATTCTATCCAGCCTGCTTTGTAGAACGTGTGATTAAGAATTCTCACCTCGCCCCCGCTGCTGCAACTCATCTTAACCACTATTACCTGTGGCTGCAGAGGTGCTTCCAGACTGACTCAGGGCAACCCCAGGGGTGTCAGGAGAACTCAGCTCCACAGAATTTTAAGTGACTGATTTTTCAGAAATGTCACCAGGCCTTTCGTTGAAGGTGCCTCTGGGTGGATTCAAACCTCCAACCTTTGGGTTAGCAGCTAAGTGTCTTAACCATTTACATTATATAAAACCCCCTCTCATTGAGTCAATTTGACATAAATGCAGTCCTGTATAGGGTATCTGAGGCTGTAAGTCATTACAAGAACTGACAACTTCAACAGCTAGTGGGTTTGAAATGCCAACTTTTCAGTTAGTTCAATCCTTACCAGACAGTATCACCACTGCAGTAATGCCGCAATAATCCAACAAAGTAGGTATTATTATTATCTCCTTTTTATAGATGAATAAATTTAGGACAGGTTACAAGACTGACCCAAAGCCAATTCATGGTGGACTGGAGTCAGTCAATTCTTTTCTTTAAAAAAAAAAATCATTTTATTGGGAACTCTTATAGGTATTATAAGAATCCGTAATTCAATTAGATCAAGCATAATTGTAGAGTTGTTGCCCCTATCATTTTCAAAACATTTTCTTCTTGAACTCTTTGATATCAGCTCTCCTTTATCTCCTCCCTCCTCCACCCTTCCCCCAGGAACCTTTATTATTATATTATTTGCCATATTTTACACAATCCAATGTATCTGTTATACAATTCTGTCATTCATTCCCCTCGAGCAGAGTTATACAGTCATCCTTGGTATTGATTCCCCACCTCCCACCTTTCTTCCCGTACACTCAGGGAGTCAATACTCTCCTTAGTCTCATTATTATTTCTGAACGGTTTATTGATCTTGGAAATCATGCATCAAATGACCTTAATTATAGAAATGAACATACACAAGATTAGTGAGGTGAAACTAAGAACATAACAGTAAGAGGATGAAATATTGACTAGAGGATATTTATGTATTCCATCAGTACTATACTGCACCCTGGATATAGCATTCCTTCCACGTGGCCGTTCTGTGAGGGGCTGCCCACTTATCTTACAGGTGGGTTATAGGTCTCCACTTTGTCT